GGGGAAGGGGCGCCCCCCGGCCGGGCGGCGGCGACGGAGCGCGGAGTGCGCAAGCGCGGGGCGGGGCGGGGCCGGTACCTGGGAAAGAGCAGAGAGAAGTGGAGTTGGGGCACAGGGTCCCGTTGCCCACCCGCGGCACGAGCTTCAGGCTGAGGATCTGCTGTAGGAGCCCGGCCGACCCTCCGCTGCCGCCGCTCCCCTCGTGCTCCATCCCGCCGCCATTCACCGCAGAGAGATGTGGGGGAGCGTCCGAAGTGCTGCCGAGGCTCGCTCGCTCTCACTCACAGACCAAAGCCCTCTCTGACTCTACCTCCTCAGCGTCACCCTCGGATGGGGCCCTCTTCCTCCCACCTCAACGGCTCAGCCAAGTGATGGCACCTTCCTCCAATCACAGGACGCTGCAGATGGCAGAGGCGGGGCGAGAATTGTTCCCTCCCCTGACGTTGCGTACGGCTCACCGAAACCTGGCACCCACGGGCTACGCCCCCTACTGGGCAAGTGTCTCCTGCTCCAGAGTAGGATGTGCTAAGCTCTGCCCTTCCCTGCAGCGCCACCTATAAGACAGTAGGGGAATTGCATACCCTCCCCAGACCCGGCGCGTAGATTTCAAACGGATCTAGCAATGAGAATCAGATGGTTCAGCAGCCAGGTGAAGGAGGCTGGAAGACATCAGCAATACCTCCGATATTTGGAGGGAAAGTGAATTTTTTGAAAGCTCAACTTTCTTTAAAGTAAAAAGCCTTGCTTGCAGGGACGCCTGGGTGGCTCAGTCGGTTAAGCATCTGACTTCAGCTCAGGTCATGATCCCACAGTTGGGGAATCCAAGCTCAGCATCTGGCTCTCTCCTGTCAGCACAGAGCCTGCCTGCTTTGGATCCTCTGTTTCCCTCTCTCTCTGCCCTTCCCCAGCTTGTTCTTTCTCTCTCTCAACATAAATGTCAACAAATTTTAAAGAAATACATTGCTTACAAAGTTCATAGTATTTTACATAATATTAATTCAAGAACATTAGCAAGATTGTTTATTAGAGTTCCCTCTTGAAGATTTTGTTTTGAGAGCTAATGTCCGTTCCTCAACACTGCAACTGGGATTTTGCATCAACCAAGAAACATCTAAAATGGAAATAGTATTAAAAAAAAATCATGAAATATTTAATGCTATCTTCTGGTACATTTCTCAGACCATGAGAGTGTGTAAGAAGTGGAAGAAACATTATTTTAGGGTTATATAACAATCAATAGTGTATCGCATTAGGAAACATTATTTTGAATTTACAAGTCTATCCCCAGATTCTGAATTGAGAGGTTAAAAAAAATGACATTTACACTTGCAGGACTCAGAAAATGTATGTTTGATGTGCCCTTTCTTTTAAAAAACATTCTTTTAGGGGCACCTGGGTGGCTTAGTCGGTTAAGTGTGGGCTTTGGCTCAGGTCATGATCTCACAGTTCATGAGTTCAAGCCCCACGTCAGTCTCTGCGCTGACAGCTCAGAGCCTGGAACCTGCTTCAGATTCTCTGTCTCCCTCTTTCTCTGCCCCTCCCCTGCTCACACTGTCTCTCTCTGTCTTTCAAAAATAAATAAACATTAAATTTAAAAAAATGTTTAATGTTTATTTTTGAGACAGAGACAGAGGGCAAGGCAGGCGGAGGGGCAGAGAGAGAGGGAGACACAGAAACCAAAGCGGGCTCCAGGCTCAGCTGTCAGCACAGAGCCCAATGCAGGGCTCAGCCCCATGAACCGGGGGGATCATTACCTCAGCCAAAGTCCAGCGCTTAACTGACTGAGCCACCCAGGCACCCCATATGTGCCCTTTCTAAGGAAGCTGAGTATGTCCTCTGGCAAAGTTAAGGAGTGATGACCGAGAAAGAGAAAGATGTGCAAAACAAGAAATCATGGATTTAACCTGGAGGGTTAGACTGACTTCTGTGCCTAAGTCCTAGCAGCCACCTACCCAGATTAGAACAGAAAGAAGAGTGTCCTAGGAAAAATAGTGGAATTGACCTCAAGCTACGGACAAAATGGTTAAGAAGCTCAAATTTTTAATGGCAGGGTGAAGAAAGTTCCTCTTTCTTCTCTTAATGGGGAAAAAAAAAAAACCTGAAAGGCAATACAAAGTCCAGGAGACACAAGCCTGCAAGAAAATTAGGAAGCAACTAGATTTTTCGCTTGTTTCCTTTTTAGAACTCCACCAACCATCTCACTTGTTTCACTTACAAAGAGATGCAGAACTATAAAACTTGTAGAAGACAATGTCGAATATAGTTATGACCTCACAATAGTGAAGGAGCTCTTAAACTAGATAGAAAAATCAAAGACTATAAAGGAAAGGATTGATAAATTTGTTTTAAGTTAAGAACTTGTGGGGGCGCCTGGGTGGCCCAGTCGGTTGGGTGTCCAACTTCAGCTCAGGTCACCACTCGTGAGTTCGGGCCCGGCATCAGGCTCTGTGCTGACGGCTCGGAGCCTGGAGCCTGCTTCAGATTCTGTGTATGTGTCTCTCTCTCTGCCCCTACCCTGCTCACACTCTGTATCTCTCTCTCTCAAAAATAAATAAACATTAAAAAAAAAAAGAACGTGTTATTCAAGCGTTATCATAAAAACAACAAAAAGACAAACCACAAACTGGGAAAAGATATTTGCGATATTTTTGTAAGCAGCAAAGGTGTAGTATCCAGGGTCTATAAAGCACTCCTGAAACCCAGGTAAGAAAATGACAAAGGGACAAAAGAACTGACTAGGTACCTCATCAAAGAGAAAACACAAATTGCCAACAAAAATAGGAAAGGATGCTTAACCTCATTATTTATCAGTGAAACCGAAAATGAAGTCACGATGAGATCATTTATCAACCATCCAATAGCCAAAAAATTTGAAGTCTTGAGAATGCCAGTTGTTCGTGACGTCGCAGAGCAACTGAACTCCTGAGCGGTAAATTGACAACCATTTTGGAATAACGTCGAATGAAGAGTCTCACGATCCAGCAAGTTCGCTCCCAGATAAATATCCTCTAACGTTGGCACCAGGAGGCTCATACAAGATGGTTCCTAGTAGCGTGGTAACAGCAAACAGCTGAAAACAAGCTGGACGTCCATCAAGACGAGAATGAGTTAACAAAATTGTGATATAATTTTCAATAAAATACTATTCAGTCATTGAAATAAGTTACTTAAAGCTGCAAGCAACAACATGATGAGTCTGTGGAATATAAAGTGAGGGGAAAATCGAAGTTACAGAAGAAGGCCACAGTGTGATTGACTTGATCCAGTTGAGAAACTTGCAAGACTAGCCAATACACTAAATAAGGATATTAACATAGGCAGTGCAATGATCTATTATTTAAAAAATATCTGACATGTTACATACATATATGATATTATATGCACAGTTATTTGACTGAGGAGTACCACAGAGCGAGAGTGGCCTTGGACACCCTCCATCTCATTCCAAGGAAAAGCCAAAGTCCTCACCAAGGCCTACAAAGTCCTACATGATCTGACTCCCTCTCTCTTGCTTTCTCATCTCCTAGCTCTCTTCCTCTGGCCTCCCAGACCAGACCCACTAGCCTCTTGCTGTTCTCCCAATATGCCAAATGGGTTCCCTCCTTAGGATTTTTGTATTGTCCCTTTCCTCCTCTGGGACATTCTACCTATTGTTACCCCTTAATTAACTGCCTCGCTTCCTTTAAGACTTTGCTCACATGTCACTTTCTCAACAAGACCTACGCCGATCACCCTACTAAAAATTGCAACTCACCCCCCACGCCCACACATTCCTAATACCGGTGATTCTTCCCTACTTTTGCACTGGTTACTGCTCAGTTCATAACGTGTGTTGAACAAACAAATGGAGGTGTGGCGGACTTGAAGACTCGGATCAGAATGGCACCAGGACTGCAGGGCCAGCCAGGTTCTCCAATCTTACCCCCAAGGGAGAAAGCATGATTGGCAGAACGACCTGCCGCCCCAGGAAAATTCAAAGTCCACTCTGCAGTGGTTGCTTCAGTCTCTGTGTCGTTGGCCAAACCCTCTCGTTTCAGCAGACTCCCACTCCCTCCTGAGGCTACCAGTGTTTTTTGGTCCATTTTTTTTTTCTAAAGACTTAACATTTTTAGAGCAGTTTTAGGTTTATAACAAAATTGAGGGAGACGTACAGAGGTTTCCCATATACATCCTGCCCTCACACATTGGTAGCCTCTCCCATTATCAATATCATTCACTAGAGTGGTACATTTGTGACCAAGGATGAACCTACATGCATACGTCATAATCACCGAAAGTCTATAGTGTACCTTAGAGTTTGCTATTAGTGTTGTACATTCTACAGGTTTAGACAAATATATAATGACATATACCCATAGTTATAGTATCATGGAGAGTATTTTCATTGACCCTAAACCCTATGCCTCATCCATTCATCCCTCCCTTCCCCATGCCCAACCCCTGGCAGCCACTGATATTTTTACTGTCTTCATAGTTCTGCCTTTTCCAGAATGTCATATTAGTTGGAATCGTATAGCATGCAACTTCTTCATTGGCTTTTTTCACTTAGTAATGGGCATTTTGGTTTCCTCTGTGTCTTTTCATGGCTTGATCGCTCATTTATTTTTATCACTGGATAATATTCCATCGGGTAGGTAAAAATGAAAATGACTGACTTACCCCTGTACAGGTGACGGGGGCGGGGGGGTGGTCAGTAGGAGAGGAAGGTAAGGGCATTCTCGACACCATTCCAGAGACTTTAAGTTAGTACTCCATTTTTAAAGTAATTTGGTAGTTTCACATTTAAGACACAAATGCTTCTTGATCCAATAGTTCGACTTCTAGGAATCTGCACTATAGACACAAAAACTTGGTCACCTCCTGGGGACTTCTCTAATCTCATGAGCCTGGACCCACGAGTGAGTTTTTAATTTTGTCAAGGAAACTTGATTCCAAGGGGGACGAATCCCTGTCTTTAATCTGGCTCCTTTTCTTCATTCTATGCTTGATGAGCTCCCATTCTTCCTTCATTTATTCGAATCAGTGTTTCCTCTTCAAAGAGGTCCTCCTGACTCCCCATACTAAAGTAGGTCATCCTCTCCCCATTCTTATTATTTCTTCTTAGAGCACAATTGACATTTATGTTTGCAGGTTTATCTGCGGAACTATTTACTTTGGGTCTGTACTCCCGACGAGAGCAAGGTCTGTGACAGCTCTGTCCCCTCACTATGTCTCCAGGGTCTGAACTGTCCTGACTCATCAAAACACTCAATTGGGTACTGCCTGTCCTTGTCCGGAAAGCTGATCTGGGTTCACCCCCAGCCTTGCTTAGAACCAGGTACACCGGGCATATATACATTCACCCAGAGGCTTGTCCAGAGTACACTATATGCAGGGAGCCAGGTCTGGGAGCCAGTCATCCCCTTTCTGGGATCTGGGGTGTACATCCAGAATGGATGAATCACAGAGCAAAGACCATTAATGGTGGCCATCCATACGGTCTGCGACCGGAGCAAGGGCAAATGAAACTTGTGTGAGGCCACTATCAGGCTGGGCTCTGAGCCATCCCAAAGCCTTCCTGGGCCCCACAAGGGATCAGTATCTCCCTATTCTTGGCCTCTGGTACCATGAACATCTTGCTCATCCCTCTTTGCCTGAACATACCACATTGTCCAGGACCACTCCTAGGCTGACACCTCCACTTGGCACTGTGATCCTTCCAGGTAGGGCCAGCAGGCTACTTTTATCCCCAGTGGCCAGCACAGGGCAAAGGACAGGGAGGGGCAGGCAGGGAGAAAAGGGGCCAATAGTAGGGGCCCCGATGCCCCAGCCCACTGCCTACCATACCCTTCAACACTCAGGTCCTTGAGATGTTTGCAGCCAAATGCCTGGATGTCTCCCTAACACCTAGAGACCTATGTCATTACCAGGGGAATGATCTGGCTCTCCAGGCTGGTAGTGGGGTCCTTTACTGCATCCCAGTTCAGTTTGTTAGAACTGTAAGCATTGAAGTCAGAAATGCGAGTTTGAGCTCTCTCCTATCTATCGAATATCCAATAGATAGATAGATAGATAGATAGATAGATAGATAGATAGGTAGATAAAGAGAGCACGAGCAGGGGAGAGTGGCAGAGGGAGACACACACACACACACACACACACACACACACACACACACACAGAATCTTAAAGAGGTTCCACTCCCAGCACAGAGTCCGATGCAGGGCTTGATCCCAAGACCATGAGATCATGACCTGAAGTGAAATCAAGAGTCGGATGCACTCAACCAACCGAGCCACCCAGGCGCCCCGAGGTCTGTCCTGTATATTAAGCTATGTGACCTGAGCCTTTTGAAGTTGCAGAATCCCCATTAACAAATGTGGGGGGTTTAAATACCTTCCCCATGTTACTGTGAAGGAGCAGATGGAGGTTTTATGAGGCCTGAAGCTTCTACAGCTTGACGGCTCCTTAAGTGAGGGGTCCTGAAGCTTCAGCTTCAAGGTGAATATGTCTCTACTCCCTGCCAGAAAAGACGTGGAAAATGCCAGATTCCCTCTTGCCTGCCTGCTTTGCGCAAGGATAGGGGTCCACAGTCAAGGCCCACACCAACACTGTGCCCCAAAGTTTGTGTGCACTCAAATCTGCTGCCCGTTCTTCCCAGAGGGTCTGTGAGCTCTGCCCCGCCCCCCTCCTTTTCCTTTTAAACACTTACGGGGTGCTTGCTAACTCTCATTTTCATTTGCTGAGCTCAGGACTAAGCCGTCTGGACACCCAGCATCCCTTTAATAAGTCTCTGCAGCCGAAGCCAGGTATTGTGGCTTGCAGGCAGGAATCGTATTCTGCTCTCGTCTAGGGCCTGGCCTGGGAGGACCAAGGGAAGACAATCACCCCGCAGGCTTTTTCCTTCCAGTCTCCTGGCCAGATTTATCTGGTTACAGTCACCCTGTGACCTGCCCTCCAGGCACTGATCCTGATGCCAACTTCTTGCTTTGCCACATGCTCTGCCTGGCTTGCTGCCCGGGCCTCCCGAGGCCTCCCACCAGCCTCATCCAGCAGGCTCTCTAGCTGCTGCACTCTGGGCTCGTTAGCTCATCGCTTCCTGTAGCCCGCAGCTGTGGCCCCAGCCATGGCTGCTTGGTCTTCCCTAGTGCGAGTAAAACGGGAGAATCCGCCCTTCCTTCGTAAAAGTGACAGGTCTCTGCAAGCCTCATTCACCCCTCCACCTCCCGCTGTAGCCTCAGAGCAAAACCCTCCTCCTGCCTCCATCCTCCTCATGGTGTCACCTCGGACAAGTCCCTTCAGTTTTGTGTTCTGCCCGTCAAACTTCACAGACTGTAAACTCCAGTATCACGCAGATTCATTATTTTTTTATTTCTGTGGGTGGGACCTTTACTGTCAGGGCAGGTGATGGGAGTATGTGGGCTCCAGGGAGGATGGGGCAGAGAGAGGCTAGAGGGAGACCACAAGATAAGAGGCATCTTGTCTGATTTCTTGCTGAAAGAAACAAGCAATATAAATGCCAACAGCTCTGATAGAGTGTGGTGGTGGGACCTGGGGGCAACAAGTCTGGGGTGTGGGGGGGAGGGGCTGGACTTGAGGGGCCAGCTCACCGCAGCGCCCCCTCTACTCCCAGGTAGGGCCGGGACCCCCTTGTCAGCTGTTGGATGATGCATCCAAAAGGAAAAGAGACTTAGGAAGAAAGCACTCCAGTAGCAGCCGAGTGGTCTGAACTTATTCGCGGTGCCCACAGGAAGCGTGGACACAGTTTTGCTTTCCGTGAAGCGTGCACCCGACGGGAACCCAGCTCCTAAGGAGGGCTCGAAGGAAAAGCAAGAAACAAGAAGAAAGAAGCATGGAGTTTCGGGGACTCAGTCCATTCCTACTACGGAGGAAGACTCCCCAACTCCGGTCCCCTCCACTAGCAGCCTGGGCGCTGCGTGACCGGCTCCCTCCCTCGCCGCCACAGCCTGGGGGGCCTGCGCTAAGGTCGGGGGTGCGCCGCGGTGGACGACGCCCAGCTGAAGCTGCTAGTGCCGAGCGGCTGCACCAGGTCCACGGAGAGGTCGCGCTGCTCGGCCTCGGAGGCCACGGCCCGGTAGCCCAGCAGCTGCAGCGCGCCGGCGCACAGCTCCTGCACGCGGCGGATCTTGGCGAAGGGCAGCGCGTGGCGCCAGGCCTGGGAGACGTTGAGCGCGTTCCTGGATGAGGTCTTGAAGGCCTCGCGGCGGGCGCCGGGCCCGGACCCGTGCGTGCTGTTGTGGATCCAGGCCTCGAGCTGCGGCGTGAGGCTCAGGCCCGCGAAGTCGTAGAGCTCGCGGATCTCGGGCAGAGGCGCCCGCGCCAGATCCTCAAAGCGCACCAGGCGGTAGCGGCCGCGCAGGAAGGGCGGCGGCTTGCGGGTGGCGGCCTCGGCGATGCGCACGTGGCTGCGACACACCTCGCGCACCACGCGCAGGCCGGGGTCGGACTCCACCCAGGTGCCATTGGTGCCCAGCACGATGCCGTTGTCGCGCGCCAGCGCCTTGGCCGTCTGCTCGCGGGAGCGCAGCACGGCCCGCGGGTCCCGCACCAGGTGCACGATGCGCAGGTTGAGCGCTGGGTCGTTGAGCAGCGGGTAGAGCACCTGCAGGTTGAAGAAGCGCACCTCCTTGAGCACCACGTGGCTGTAGGAGCGGCAGGCCTCCTGCGCCACGCCGAAGGGCCGCCGCCCGCACAGCGGCTTGCACACCGTGTCGCTGCTGATGGCGCCGCGCGGGAAGGCGGTGCAGGCCGGCGGCGAGCACAGCGCGCGGCTCACCGCGAACTGGAAGAGGTCCGACAGGTTGCGGCGCCACGGCAGGTAGGCGTCGAACACGTCCATGTCGCACAGGAAGACGGAGCGCACCAGGTCGCGCACGGCCATGTGCAGCGCCGGCGCGCTGCCCTGCGACAGGGTGGTCCACACGTGCCACGCGGGCTCCATCAGGTAGAAGACGTCGGGGTGCTGGCTGAAGAGCTGGCCCACGAAAGACGAGCCCGAGCGCCACGAGGACAGCACCAGCACGTGCACCCGCTCTTTGCCGCCCACCGGGGACGGCGGCCTGGGCCAGGAGACCAGGAAAAGCAGGATGGCGGTCTGCGCCAGCAGGAGCACGGTCACGGCCGTGCTGGAGATGCGCGGCAGCCACATGCCGCCGGCCGGGGGCCTGCGGGAGGAGAGTGCAGCCGTTGGGGACCGCGGCCCGCTAGCCGCGCCGCAGCCCAACTCCCGCCCGGTGCTTGCAGAGAGCGGACCCCGGGTCTGGACCCCCCGACCTGTGGGGGGCTCCCTGGACTACAGCCGTCTCGTTGGGCGCTCCCCCGGCAACAGGACTTTAAGACATCAGCCATGATCTAGACCCTGCAGAGCAAAGGCCAGTTGCAGACTACTGCGGGAAATGTATGTTGGTCCTTACTTCCTCCCCTCCCCTGCCTTTCTCTCCCTCTCTCTCTCTGCCTTACTCCTCTTTCTTTCTTCCCTTCTTTCTTCCTTCCCCCTCCCTCCTTCCCTCCCTCCCTCCTTCTTTCTTTCTCTCTTTCTTTCCCTCTCTCTCTCTCTCTTTTTTAAAAACAGAATCTCCACCTTTTGCTTAAGAATTCCTTTTTGGGGGACAATTTTAGGTTATTTAGCTAAACAGCTTGATGAGTCATTTGGCTCCCTCCCCAGGTTCAGCCACTTCTAGCCTGTGATCTCGGACAAAACACTTAATCTGCCTGTGACTCAGTTTACCCATCTGTAAAAAGGGGATTGATACTGGCACTGGAGTAATGGAATGAGCATGGGGGCAGGGCATGTAGCAAATCCCGTAACATGCAACTTGCACTTTCCACACAGTGCGCGGTCTGTGTTGTTTGACTTCTTTTAAACACGCAGCTACAGCTTTTGTTATTAAAAGTAAACAAATAAATGACAGAGACAAAGAACACCAACTGTTGCCACCTGCAGGGAGTAGAGTGCTGCGGGATGCTGGGACTCCAGAGGGAAGGTACCCTTCTGGAGCTGCGTGAATGTGCAGAAGAAAGCAGTTGAGGGGGAGGTGGGACAGAACCGGGGAAGGAGGAGGTGACAGCAGTCAGGCCCCTGGCCACAGTTTGCCTCCACGCTGAGGTTACTCACGGTAGTCCAGGGCCGCTGGGAGAGCTGCCCACCTCAATCACAAATCCATGGAAGACGTCCACGGGTTCTTCAGGGCCTGAGGAAGCAGGAGGGAGGCTGGGTCAGCGTCTCACCGGAGGAGATAACCCGGCACAGGGGGAGGGTTTTGCCTTCCCTTACTGACCGAAAGGTCCCTGCAGGTGGGAACAGAGCTGCCCAGCCCCCGCCTGGAGCTGGGCACAGACCAGGGGCAGGGTACATTTTTCCGAATGGGTGCGAACGGGTGGTCTCTCCTGCTGGATGGAGAAGGGAGGGCTGGCACTGAGCCCTCTGGTGCCACTTAGCAGCTAGGAGACCTGGGGCAGATGACTTCTGCACCCAGATGAGACACCCTGAGGTCACCTACATTTGGAATCCCGGCATCTCCCAAGCCCACCTCTACTCCCCAGCCACTCCTGGGTCCTGTGGTGGATCTTAAGAATGTCACTCTTGTCCCGCACAGCGGAAGGAACCCTGAGCCAAGCTCGCACAGCCCGAGGTCTCAAAGATGAGCTGCTTTGGAAGGAGGAGCCTGGAAGTCTCCTCCTTGCTTCCACAGTATTTGCTCCCCACTAAGCCACCCCACCCCCCAGCCATATCACCACCGGGAGAAGCTGGGTCTAAATCGTGAGCTGATCCCACTTATCCAGAGGCTGCAGGAGTGGGTGGAGGACACCCAACGGACCTGACACCTGCTGACTCCGACGCTGTCTCCCGAGTCCCGGACCCTACGCTCACTCCCGGAACATAAGGAGAGCAGCCGCCTTCCTGCTCTGCACGTGTTATCTCCTCTCCTCAGAGATGTGCTTCTCCACGAGAACAGGGCACAGGAGAGGAAGGGAACTCAACTTGCATTTGCTGACATACGAGTGCTAGATGCTGTTTTGACTCAATGGCCCCTTTGGTAGACATTGTGATCTCAACTTCTTAGGTGAAGGACCCAAGGCTTGGAGAGATAGTAGGGGAAGGGGGACCCCGACCCAGGACTTCCATCTCTAAGCTCCTGGCATTTTCTGATCCCAAGCAGCTGGCCTCTCCCATATCCTGGGGGATCCCTGCAGAGCAAAGGACCCTGAGGTCTGGCCCAAACACAGCTGCCCTGGCCAGCCCAGCCCTTTTCTGGCTAGGGAGGGTCTCAACCACAGGCCGATGTACTCCAAGGAAACCAGACATTTTCTTAAGTGACTCACACAATACCGGAGCTGATATCTGATCTTATTACTGGAACTCGAGAACTAGGAAGGGGACTGACACACCCTACCCCATGCAGGAGCCCAGGGAAGACCAGGTCCTGTGGGAGATTTCCTGATAAGATTTCCTGTGTGCCTTGTGTATAGCACACCCAGTCACCTCAGGGTTCAAAGTTAAGAACGGGTCCGAAAGGTACCAGGACAAGGACTTAATTTTTCATGAGTGAATTGCATCCTCCCAACACTCCTGCAAGGTAGAAATTACCTCTTTTTTTTTTTTTTAAATGTTTTAATTTCTTTTTGAGAGATTGAGAGTGTGTGAGCAGGGGAGGGGCAGAGAGGGAGAGGGAGACAGAATCGCCACCTATGCCGTGTATTTCATCGTGTCATTCCCCTGTGCAGCAACCTTCAGCTTTCCAGACTCACTTCCCATATTTCCGACCCAGCATCCTATAGGTCAGGTGACCTGGAAGCAACACTCCATGTTCCTCTCTTCTCTGCTGCGAGTGCCCATCCCCACTTCCTCTGAAGACACCTCACCTGTGCCTCTCTCAAGCCAGGTACCACTCTGTCCTGAGTGACACTTTGCCCCCGCCTCCTTGCCACTGTGTTTTTTCACGACTGTCTGTTCCCAGGCATCAGTGTGGACGAGTGCACTAGACAGAGTTTCTTTGGGTCCACTCAATACTTGTTCCTCCTTATTCTGCTAACAGCCTCTAGATTTTTCTCTGGGGAGCCACCCCTCACTCACAAAGTGCACGTGGTTTGCGTGGAGCCGACCGCCCACCTCCCAGTTCGTAGGGAGTCATGTGTACCAAGCCTGGTTCATCTGTATATTCCACACGTCATCCCCCGACCAAGCGACAGGCTTAGGAATGGACATTTTCTCCAAGTCCAATCCCAACACAGAAGAGAAGTGAGCAGAGAAAAAAAAAAGTCTGAGCCGTGAGCACCTGGATCCAGCTGGGCGAGATTCACCCTTGGACTTCTCAGTGGGGGAAAATACCCCCTTTTTTAGCCAAGCCAATGCGAGTTCGATTTCTGCCATTTACAACCAAGCATTTTGACTGGAAAGTGGGTCCTGTTGGTGGGGTAGGGTGTGGTGGGGTGTGGGCCGAACCCTCAGGAAGCCTGGACAGAGCTTTTGGAGGCCCGTCATGCCGTGTTTCTTGATGAGGTGCTAAGTACCTGAGCATGTTTGATTTGTGGAAAGTCATTAAGCTGTATTTAAAAACAATTTTTTTAATGTTTACTAATTTTTGAGAGACAGAAAGAGTGTGAGCAGAGGAGGGGCAGAGAGAGAGGGAGACACAGAATCTGAAGCAGGCTCCAGGCTCTGCGTTGTCAGCACAGAGCCCGATGCGGGGCTCAAACTCAGACCATAAGATCATGACCTGAGCTGAAGCCGGACGCTTAACCGACTGAGCCTCCCAGGCACCCCATCAAGCTGTACTTTTATGCTCTTTTCTGTATGTATGTTATATTTCATTAAGAAGTTCAGAATCCCGACTGAATAAGGCAGTAAGTGTCATGTCAGGGAATGTCCCAAAGACTAAAGAGTAGATGATATTAATAAAGATTTGCCTAACTTAAGTCAGACACTCTATGATCCAAATCCAAAGGGAGGAACTCCCCCACGTGTCCCACATTTCTTCCTGCTGAGCGTTTATTTTTAAGTTTAATTATTTATTTTGAGAGTGAGAGCACAAGCAGAGGAGGGGCAGAGAAAGAGAGAGAGAGAGAGAGA